GCCCTCGTTCTCGCTCTCGTTCTTTCTCTAAATCCACGAACCCATCATCCCCTGTCCACGCCGCCCCTTGCGTACACACGCGACAGGTGCCTAACTGGAAAACTGGGCCAAAAAGGCGCCACTTACGTACACACCCTGCGTACATGGGTTATTAATTCGCACGGACGTTCGCTTTCGCGTGCGAATGTCAAATCACGAATTCCCCTCCAGGCAGCGATTTGTTGTGCCTTTTGGGTCTTGTTTTTCATTCCTCCGCCCGCGCCGAAAAATTTCCTCGAGTTTTTCGCCAAATGCCCGGAACGTTTTGGTTTTTACTTAACGATCGACCGCTTCTTGTCTGAAGTTCTTTTCAGATTTATCGGTACAAGGTACGCGTTATAGCTCGTCTTGATAAATCACTACTTAAGGGGATGTGAAACCCCCCTCAAATCACTCGACCCGAATACCACACTTTTTTTTAAGGGTATCGAATCGAACCGTCTGAAACAATGACACATTATTCGTGAGCATCTAGGAATTATTTTGACACTGTCAAAATTCGGATTTTGCAAAGAAATGTTTTAACTAAGCCCAGACTAGGATCAAAATGACAATGACAATATGGAACGCTTCAGTTCGTATAATTCTCATCGTAGACTGTAAAAGACCAACATAAACCTAATTGTCGGTAACGGGACGCGCCACCTTATGTTCCCCCTTGAGTATTCAAAATGACGTTACCACCAAAAACGACATAGATGAATTTTATTTTATCGACGTCGATTAAATTTCTCAGCGCCTTCCATATCATCTTAGGAATTCTTCGGGGACGAAACGTGGGCGATGGGAAAAGGAAAAGGACGATAGGGCTGAAGAAATGAAGAGAGGAGGAAGAGGTCTTCGGAGATGAGTTGATGTATACTAATTGAAGGGCCGGCCGCGAACTGCACGGTAGCAGGACCCGTCATTAACACCTCCCCTGGACCACACACGGCGGTTCCTCGTTCTGCGTATCCACACGAAACGCCTTTCGTGTTTATTTTGAGGAACATTATTCGGCAGAACCACCAGGGCACGGCTTGACTTCGAGCCCATCCTAGGATACACCCAGAGACGGGTTTCAGATTGGAAAAAAATAAATAGTGAACAGTCGTCGCGGCAAACTGTGCGTTAATTAAACAAATAAAGGAATAAAATTTGTCTCGATCCCAGTTCGTTTTGGGGATATTTAATTTTAGACGGAATGATTTCACTTTGAAACTCGCGCAGATACGATCGCTCTCAAGCCTCGATACGACGGTCCGATAAAAGGAAACGTAAACTCGGTATCTCTACCATTATGACACCGATACTTTGCTGATAAAATCGCACTAATTGGTATATAAATATAACCATTCTTCTCAGATTTGTCTTCCTAACGCCCGGTAAAATATCGCAATTTGAAGTTGATCGTATCACCGGACAGGTGAATGGATTACCGGAAGAACGATGTAAATAAATCCGTAATCCAGTTTCATGCATACCGTGGAAGTGAGTAATATCGATATCATTGAATTGTAACCAGTAGAGTTTCAAATGCCATCGCGCTGCTTATGTCATCATCCCATATCTCCATGTCCTCATCTCTTCGCGTCCTTGACCCGAGCAAGTTTTCCCGCAGGCGGTTACTACAGGTCGAAGACACGCCTATTGGTTTCTCGGTGCATCATTGTGCATGCATCATTTGTCTCATGGGAGCTTGGTCGACAATGGATCCTCTATCTGTGATTAATTCGCGGATTCGCAGAGGCCGCGTCAGCCGCGCTGGCGTCTCGCGGAGTAGGGCCTTGGAGAACCTTGAAGGGGTCACGAGAAGAAAGAACTAAAAAGGGATGGGTTTCGGAAGTTCATGAAAGTCCGTTTACACAACTCTTTGGCGTCCTGCGATGCATTAGGCTCTCGAGACGGCCTGGCCTGGAATCTTCGACCTCTGCTCCTCTCTCTCGGAGAGAGGAGTTGGACTGGTCGTTCCGGTATATACGTCAACGACGACCGGAGGGACCCAAGTCGGATACAGGGTGCTTTATAAGTCTCCGCTTGCCAACCTGGGACGATGATTAAATACACATCGATCAGGATATCGGTCCTTAAGGTGATAAGAAAGAGTCCGCTTATACATATGTGCCCATAATTATGAAAGTGGTCTAAGTCAAAATTAAAAAAAACATTAGTTTATCAGTTATTTCACGCCATATTATTTCAAACGAAATTAATTCAATGTAATTTCGAAACAAAAAATATATGACTTAGACCACTTTCATAATTATGGGCACATATCTAAGAGGTCGAATCGTTGGGGAAAGGATTCTCCGAATTGGGTGTACCGGTTCGTTTCAAATTTTTCTACCTTCTAGATTCTTCCTACTAGATTCATGCAAGAAGACTGACAGGGCAATTTATGGAATCGTTTGCGATTAATTATGTCTCGCCGGGCCTTGACTTTTAATATTAATCGCGAGATTTGTTACGGCTGGAGCTTAATGATCGAAACAATGCGTTCTCGGTAAAACGTCATGTAAAATATTGAAACTACCCCTAGGAGCATCGGACGGTTGTTTGAACCGCTTTGCCTGGGTAGTTTCTTATAAGCTTGAGTTTTCCGGTTTCGTTTTACGAGGAATTAATTTACAGAAGGTACGTCTATAGGGTGTATTCGTTCCCTGGTAGAAACGCATCTTCCACCCGGTGTCATTTTCTACCCGGTATGTTGCCCGTCCGACTCTTTTCAATGGAGTGGAACGTTCGCGCGCGCGCAACCCTTGAGGGCCCTTGAGGCCAAGTCGAGAGGACCCCTTCTACATGGGTGGTCCATTCTTCTTACGCATTCATTATATAAGTTCGGTAAAGTTCGAGCCGGGGCCCTGAACGAAACGCTACACCTTATGTTATCTGTCTTTCTCGATTCCTTCCTAATTCCAATAAGTTAGCTGGTCATGTGGAAACGTTACCATAGTTCGCAGGACGGCTCCTGGTGGAGGTGCAACAAATTCCCCCACCCTTGAATAGCCAAGTTCAGACACGATCGCAAACCATCTTTTTTAAGGTGATGTGAAACCCCCTTCAAATCATTTTCATGAAACAACCGTCAAAATGTGGGGAATGAAGAATTATGAAACATGCGTTTTAAATTTTTCGAAAAAATTCATTTTTAAGGAGTGAGCTACCCCTTTGAATACTTCTTTTACCCCTTACGCGAGCAGTAATTGTTCCATCCAAATGAAACTTTTTTTGTATTGTTCTGGTCTATAAATTAACCAAGTTTCATTTGGATAGAGCAGTTACTGCTCGCGTAAGGGGTAAAAGAAGTATTCAAAGGGGTGGCTCACCCCTTAAAAATGAATTTTCTCGAAAAATTCCAAATGATGTTTCATAATTCTTCATTCCCTAAATTTTAACGGTTGTTTCATGAAAATCGGTCGAGTGCTTCTATATGAAATAACCAACTCATCCCCTTGCACGGCCAACCTTGAAGCCTGATTTCACCCCCTAAAAGTGTTTATCCGCCGATAAAAAAAAAACACGGGTCCCTTAGATTTTAGTACTCTATAACATATTTAAAAATGAACAAAATTGGAGGGGGACACCTCAGGTACCTTCCTTGTCAGGATAAATTCTCGAAACGATTGCGAAATATTTTTGCAGCCGTTTTCCCAGTACCCCGATATTTTCTATTACCCTTCATGATTTACGATTAAAGTCTCGTTCTTGAAGCGGCACGTCGAAAGAATGGAAAATAAATTTCAGTCTTAATTATCATTCAAGTAAAGCACGATATACTATTCAAGGGACGATGATATTAAGAATGAGTCTGAACGGCAATTTGATGCCAAATACTTTTTTATTACCTTCTTTCATTTAAGCTCTAATGTCAATGTTCGTTCAATAGCTATCGGAATGAGAATAGGAATTTCATTTCCTTCCAGTTCAACTTTGACAAATTTATAAACGTGTAAACTCTTACCTAACCACATCGCTCGTATACTCTATTTTCCTCTTTATTATCAATTCCTTTATCCCCCGACCCTCCAGATTCCCTGCAATGAACTCGGCTTTGAATTTATCTGTACCTCGTTGGTCAATTTCCGAGAAGAAGAGATCCGTGGTTCCGGTGGATTTGAATCAGTCTCTCGACGTGACATCGAGACCGTCGTCCGGGTGGTTGGCGATAAAACGAAGAGGCTGTCAGATCTCATCCCCCGTTTCCGTAGTTGGCCAGTAAGGCAAAATGGCCGATTCATCATGGCGCGTTCGCAGTCGGGCTGCGGCTCCGTGACGGAGGACGCAGGACGCAAGGGGTGGCACACCGCCTGCTACTCGTAGATAAGGACGGACCCTATATCCTAGCTCTGCCTCCGTTACGACCAACCCCCTTCTGACGCTCCTCGCCTTGGCCCCGTTCCAGCGATGGACACGAGTCGCGCCCGAATCCAATCAAGAAGTCGAACCATCGAATTCGGTAACCTTTACCCGGTCATCCCGGACAATTTGCTAATGTAACATCGTACACGAGCAGCTATCCGACTTAAGGCAAAATGAAACCCCTCTCAAATCAGTCGACTCGAACAAGACACTTTTTTTTTAAAGGTACTGGATAGAACTGCCTGAAACTTTGATACGTTACTCGTGAGCACCTAGGAATAGTCTTGACACTTTCAAAATTTGGATTGTTTCTTTAAATTGTTTAACTCAGCCCAGAACTCAGAACAGAACCAAAAGGACGTCGAGCTCTCACATTTCGATCGGTATACAATTATTGAAGGCTCTAATATGAGAAACGAAAGGGTCAGGACAATTGTAAGACAATTTAGAACACCCTGGTAATCGAGAAACTCGCATTTGAACGGGATAATATGACTCGCATTTGAACGGGATAATATGACTCGCATTTGAACGGAATATACGTGGTATTCTGCGTGTATTACGCATTGAATTTATTATGCAGTAGCAATAAAAAATGAATTTATAGCAAGTTATGGATTATTTTGAACTTCGTAAATAAATGATTCTCTAAATTTTTATATAGTTATGAGTTTTCTTTTGCAATACTTTACACCTTATAAACATAATGTAAGTGACAAGGTACAAATATTGCGTTAGCCTAATCTTCATTTCTCCAACTAGAAGAATACTCTTCAAAATCAATCAAATATACGCTCTTGTACCCTCACACTCTTTCTTTCGCACTTACGTATAGAACACATCTTAACATACCGTCTAATGTTAATATGAAGATGCAAAAGAAATAATTGATCTTAGTTTTGTAAAAATAACACCTCTAAAAATATTTATAAATTGACATGACTATGTTTATAAGCATTTGTACGATACTCTGCTGAAGTGAACTCGATATCGAATATCTCGCCATCCAGCACACTTTATAATAGAAGAATTGCAACGGGTCTTACGTTATTTGTTTCAGTCTTTTGTACTCGATGACCTGAGCGTTCGATGCGTTCTTGCTGGGGTTTGTTCAGTGATTGTACGTCGTTTCTTTAATGCCGGAGATGAACTGCTCCTCGAATTCCTATTGCCCTTTAATCTTTGAGACACTCTTGTCGCTAGTAAAAGGAAAATTGTAATAATTCAACAACTTTTTCCAATGAAATTCTTTCATACTGGAAATATTGTTTATGTTTGAGCGGTTCATTGTAATTTTCATCCGAGAGTAATGAACGAATGCAAAGATTATCGTACCACTCGTAACTGCATCTGCATCTATATTATCGCTGCCTGAAAGATTTTCATCGTCGTCATCGTCTTCGACATCATTCCTTGAAACTCTACTTTTAGCTTTAGATTTCTTTTTAACAGTATTCAAACGCGGAGTTGGAGGAGGAGGCATTATATCAGCGTCGTTATTATCGGTGTCGTTCGTTTCCTTTAACATTTCTTTAATTTTTTCTTCCATTTCTAGGCACGCCTCTTTTGTTTCTGGTTTCCTCTTGCCATTTTGGTCTATTATACTTTTCAAAGCTTTCTGAACATACGTATAATGAATTTTGTCCTTCAAGAATGGCAGATTGTGAATTAATCGCTTGATACCTAAAAGCAGATGACAAAACGAAGAGAAACATTTATACTACAACGTTTACGGATTTTGTGTAGCTACTCAATACTCACTTTTAGCATTAAATGTTAAAAGGGATAGACAATACGATAAATCTCGCCATTGACGCTGTGTAGTGGCCAACTTAAAACGCGTGGACAATTTCTCAACGATTATATCGACTTGCTTGTCCTTCTGCATGAGTCCCAGAATGAATCTACAAATAAATTCGTGATAATAGATATTTCGGAAATAATAAAACGGAAGTGCATATTACTCTTCGCTTACTTAAAAATTTCTTGAAAGTTGTCCTCGTTCAATTTAAGTTCAGAACTCGACAGACAGGATAGAATGTCGGGCAACACGTTGAGTAGAGTGTTGCCCTTCTGAGAAAGGTTCATGAAGAGCATTTTGGTCTCTTCTCTAATTTGAGGATCTGGATCTGCTATACAAAGGGCTAACTCTGCGACTTGTCCTCTTACGCGCACCATCTCTCTCAGTATCAAATTTGATAACATTTTCACGCAAGTAATTCGAACTCCGACATCTTCATCTCGCAGCCTGTTGAGAGTTCAGGGCATTTTTCATAAAATCATTTCTCTTAATGAAATAATTTATACCGGTAACTATCTAACCTTCCGTAAATATGACTCGTCCATGGTTCCACTTGATTGGGAAATCTAATAGTTAAATCCGTCAATCCTATGAGTATATTAGATCTAACTCCAGAGTACGAAGATCGCTGTAATATTGTTATTAATAGTTGCAGATGTTGCTCGCAGAAGGTGGAGCTTACGGTCATCATTTTACTCAGGGCAAGAGCGGCAGCTGCTTGCAACTCCTCGGTTTTATATATATCAGGATGCCGGCAAACTTTTAGTACGAATGGGCTGGTAATACACACATGAGACGAATATAAAAAGAACATTAAAAGATGAGAGATAAATAAATAAATAGCAATTGATATTCATAAATGGGATTGTTACATGAACTTGATTAAATTAATGTAGATCTTGAGGGTTACACGACTGTTCTTTATGTACGAAATGACTTCTGGGTGGAAGTCGTGCGTAAATGTACCGCCTTACCGACATTTCGCCTGTAGTGAACATCATCAGGGCTAAGACACTGATGTAACTGGTGTAAAAGTATTACTCTGATGTAACTCATGCAATTGCATTACATCAGTGCCTCCCAGCCCTGAAGATGCCCGCCGCAATAAAGCCAAAACGTCGGCAAGACCATAAATTTACGATTCCCACGCGCAAGCCAACTCGTACATAAAATAAATACGGTTCATTGACATAGCCAAGAGACATTTTACTCGCGTTACTTACACAAATTTTGTTAGTAATCCATTCCCTGTGACGACAGTGTTTTCAAGGACATGGTTAATTTGTTCTGCTTCTATATCAACAGTTGCTCCAAGTCCCAAAGCTTCCTCACCATTATCTTCTATGTAACTCATCTATAAAGAAGATGGGTAATGTAACACTACATATTTCAGTTTAAAGTATCATTGAACTAAAAGTAAAAAGTGTAGATAACGTAAAAATAAACTAACTTCTTTATTACGCAAAGACAAGTCAGCACTGACAGATGTCGCCAATGTTGCTAAGCTTACATTAGCCGATGAAGGTTGTCCTGAAATACTATTTCTTTTCTGTTTATTAACATTTTTTCGTTTTAACGCCTTGTAAACAACGGTATCCAAAAATACCAAATGTCTGATAGCAACGTGTCCAACAATGTGAAGTAATCTTGCAGTCAAAGATGCAGATACAACTCGACCTTCCTTTGATTCATATTGTGATACCACTTTTTGTAATACGTATTTTATTAATACATCCGGTTGAACTGCTAACTAAAGTACCAGAAAAATTAAATGTTTAACACCACAGGTAATATTACACGGTACAGTTGCAAAGCCCTTAAAGGATTTCTACATTCCACGTATTATCTTTTGAAACAGATTAGTGAAGTCTGTAATTTGATATAGCTTGTATCTTTAATCAAATTATTTTAGATTATATCTTACGTGATATATAACGTTGATGGAATTTGTGACAAACGTGACATAACCACGTTCCTTCGTGTTCACAAATTGGTCTATCAGAATTTCGGTTACCCGCTTGATGATCTCGTGATTATTTTCCAGTCTGTAAAAACCTTTCTTATCAATACTTTTGCAATTTCTAATATATTTAAAGGCACGAAACTACTACCTTTTGAATGAGTTTGTTGCATCATCAACCTTGATTTTTAATAGTGCTTTGCATGTATCATTAACGAAGTACAAATCGTTTAATGATCGTGGGCCTAGGCCCACATTAATTAAGGTCTCGAGATTACTTGTTATGATTTCTGGATTGTTTCGAGCCACCATGGTTACTAACATAATAGCCGCTTGACTGTCCACCGTCGTTGCACCAGGCAATTTCATCGAATAAATTTCCCACATCACCTGTTTCGTCGCAATGGAGATCCAAAAGTAATGGAATGCTTAAATTAATTTTATTGATAACTACCCAGTGATACAGCTGCACTTTATAAAAATAAAGGTGACAAAAACTTACCTGAAGAACTGTGGAATTAATATCACCATTTGTATGCCATGCAGTCATAAGTTGAGCAAGAGCAGGAGTTTCTTTTGGTTCGAGACTTTTTAACAATTTGATTAATGACCCAACAGCAATGATTACTCTTTGACGTTCAGATTGGTTCGTCTCTTTTTTTTCTAAGTACAGTTCTTTGTATACTAATATCAAATTGTCACGTACTGATTGATCAGAACTATATATTTGAAACAAAGCCTTACGTATACCTGCCTCTGCATTAGACACATTAAACTGACATGCAGTTCCTAAAAACGTACATGCCTCTATAGCAACGCTTGATGTCCCAGAGTAAAGCAAATTCTCTATCAAAGGTATTGCTTTATCGATTGCTTTGCTGAATTCTAAACAATCCTGGTGATACAAAAATATATTAGTACTGTTTATGATATATTGTAACATACTCCTGACTCCAATTCCGCTTTACCTCCAGGTACTTCACACGCAATTTTTGGTTATTCAATTCCTTCAGTTCTTGTACCTCTGATTCACTTCTCGGGGTATTCTTTTGTGAACTTTCTGACTCCATAAATATTTTATATAGAAATGTTAATAAATTTCTTTCTTTGTCTGCATTTGAGAGATCATCCATACTAGGAACGTCCGGAACATTTTCAATAATAGAGCATAGATATTTCACTGCTTTCAAAATTTGATTAGACAGCAGTAATCGTCTCACCTCTTCAAAAGCAATATCTGTGTCAATGTTTTCTATTTTATCTGGACTATTTTCTGAAAATAATGTATTACTTAATATTAAATAAACTTAAGGAAAAATTGTGAATCTAGGATAATGAACATTAATTGCTGAACAGAATATAAATGGTATTTAAAAAAAAATGGCTATTATATTTATGAAATATAATCCTACCAGTTTGGTTATTTAAAACTTCCTTGACGGCTTTTTGCATTTCAGGAAGATGCTCGCGTAGGAACTCTGATCTTTCATCATTTCCTTCAGAACTGGCAGTAATAAATTTTTTTTGCATTTCTGAAAGCTTTTCCTTGTTGACAGACAACTTTCTTGAAAACTCATCTTGGTTTAACTGTAATATATATTACAAATGATACCAAAGCAATGTCTTAGATTTAAACAATTAACACATTCTCTACCATGGTATGATAGACAAACCACCACCATGGCCTAAACTTTTCTTAATGCATTCAAAACTGTAAACAAATAAGTAACGCTCGACTCTCGCCAAGAATTGAAACATGGCATATATGTAACGCTGGTAGTAAACGTATTAAATACCTACCACAGCTGCAAGTGGGTTAATCTGTAACATTGCTCGTAAAAACTGAAGAGCTTGTTTGCGAACGTTTGCACTTTTGTCTTCTAATCGTAAAGTTGTTGCATGGATCAGTCGTTTTTGTCTATTCAATGGAATTGCACGTTCACAGCACAAATTCTGCAAAATTTGAAGAACTTTGGACCTAACGTGGGCATTGTAATCTAACAGGTGTTCTTCTATGTTGTTGAAACATTCATCACGTTTTTGTTTGTCTGTGCGTTCAAGATCTTCATCTGTTAATGCCTTCGTTATAACCGTTCCAAGTACACTAATTATTCCACATCTTATGCTGTAGCACTAGAATCATTAATAACATGAATTGATGAGACCTGATAATTACATATTCTTGATTAAGTCGACACACTATCTCACTTCATTCTGTAGATGATCCATTATATCATCAATAATAGAAACAATTAATTTTGGTTCAGTGGTAGCCATAGTATCAAGGAATACTGCCAAATTACGACCCTCTGATTCTTGAAATTCACATTGATCAATCTCTCTCATTATTTCTTTTAACAACAATTTATTTCCACATTTGGAAACCATGTGCATGACACCTATGCCTAATGGCGCTGCTATTGTATCATATATTTTTATTAACTGAAATAAAGTCATTAAGTAAAGATCGTTTTATATTGACTTGCGATTCTTTATTCTATTATAAATATGTACATACCTGTACAATTCTTATAGAACAGCTTATCCCATAATTATAGTTTTTAATAAGTGTTCCCAAAATCTGAAATAGCATAATAAAATTGTTTTACACTTAAAATTTTGGTTATTAATTTATTATAAAAATAAAGACTTACTTCAAAGACTGTATTTACTACAATTTTTTGTTTTATATCTTTGCTTCGTTCTAAGATTTTGTAACACATTTGAGAAAATGTTCTGTAAAATATAATACAAAAGGTACATTAAATATGTAATACTATATTATATATTAGCAGAAAAAAATGAACTTTAATTTTCTAACCCAATAAATGAATCCTCAACAATTGGGGGATGCCACAATTTCACTAAGGGAATTTGAAGCCAACGGTATATCATATGAAATATTTTTTCCCTGCGAATTTCCCATTCTTCTTCGATGTCTGATTTCTTTGTAGTATTTTTCCTCTATTTAATATGAATAATTGAAGTTTCTGTTATGTACTTAGCTATATGTTTAAATATAAAAAATCATTTAGATTATACCTTTTTGAAAGTGTTTTGAACGATATCTTCTTGAATGTGTTCTTCGATGTAAATCGTATATGAAGATAATAAGTATGATAACATCTTGTTGATACATAATAACTCCTGTCGTTCTTCATGATCTAAGTTAGTTTCACGACTATAAGCTTCTTCCAAATCCCTTATCAATAATTCTGAAGCTGTAAATTAAGTTATTCAAAAATCATACAGATAATATTTAAAATGTAATAACAAGACAAGGATGCTTCAGACAAGGAACTCACGTAGAAAATAAGCAATAAAATCACAATACATACCTTTAAAGATTCTGTCAAAGGCACGAATTGTAATTGGTAATTTTAGTTTATTGTCATGTAATAATATAGAAAAGAAAGTGTCAAAGTGCTGTAAAATAAATTTAGCTCCACTTTCTTGAACCGCAGATCTTGCAGCTGTTAAAAAAGGTTTCCATTAAAAAATGTTATTTTTCTCCTTGGTGTACACGATTATCTGTACCAGTTAAATTCCATTTTACTCTACGATGTAATATGTACTTGATGAAATGTGAAATATCTGATATCTTACCATCAAGTGCTTCTCCTACTGCATGTAATGGGACTAAATTTTTCACAGTATATTGTCCACAGTGCGATTCTAATAATTCATCTTTCCTTAGAGGAATCAAAAAGTCCAGCACTGTCATTTTAATTACAAATTAAAATATTTGTAAACTGTTATGATAATTATTTACGACAATTAGGCGATTCAATGGTCTATTGCACAAGTGTAATCACGTCAAACAAATTTTCCATAGAAGTGCACATACTAATTCACTTCAAATCTTCGATGGAACACAATACATTGGCTGCTATGACAAATTTTGAGAATATTCTTGCAGACCACGACTCTTTATGGATAAAGATAATATATATTTATCAGTATACATAAAATCCTCATCAACTACTGATATGGTGATTGTTTAAGAACTTTTTGTGTCACCCTAATTCGTATTAACGATATTTGAATTAAACCGAATTATATTCAGTAGCTAATAACCTATCTCTCACGACGCCGTTATTTCGGTTTCACGTAACGTACGAAACGCGCGTTATATTTGATTCAAATCGGAAGCCTTAGGCCGATATGTCATTAACGCTACAGCAGAAGCGACGAAGCGACGAAACCTCCCTATTCGTTCGTATCTCTACACCCAATCAGAATCTCTTATTTGCGTTTCGTAGCTCCGTCGTTTGCCACCGTAGCTCAAATGAAATATGGGCTTGACATCGATATTTCATTGACCACGTCTCCATCGGTCTTCTAAATCCAGGATTTATCGAGTCCAGATCCAGTAAATCGGACGTCTTCATCGCATTAATAAATACGCAGATTTGATTTTAAACACTGAAATATATGGTAAACTCGCCACGCTTAAGGTGATATGAAAGAGTCTGCATATATATATGAGAAGTTAAGTTAAAGTGTGATACTGAGAAGTTAAATAGTGGTGAAAGTATTTTCCGAATTAGATGTACTGATTCATTTCAAATTTTAATCTCTGATTTGGCAGAGATGAGTTGGGAGATGCCATAATGGTAAGCCACCACCGTCAACTGCCGCATGGTATTACCATCACGAATACGTGAGCCGCCAACGGCAACTGGTAGATGGCACAGCCATCGCGATTGCGCGAGCCCCTACCAGAAATTCGTTGCGCCGCCCTTGGGGGCAAAAAACGGTGAAAGCTAACGTACGAAATCAGAGGGCAGCACACGGTGCGATCGCGCGACCCTGCCCGTGAGCAATCACCCAACTCATCTCTGTCTCTGCTCATATCTGTTACTATTTTCTGCCTATAGCTTTTCCAATAATCTATCGAGTTCCGTATCTCTGCCACTGTATTTTCTATGATAACTAAAGCGATCGCAAGTGCTGTCAGCTGGCGATGTGACTCGTTTGCCGAGTTTGTTTCGGAATATGGTATTGAGTGATCAACTTGAAAGATTATAAAATAGTAAAATAAGTTTCAAACGAACCGATCAGCTGTCTTGAGCGTCAAAGTATTATTGTCGTCGAACAAAGAAAATGTACGAGGTGCTTCAGAGGGATCCGCAGGCAAGGGTTCGTCCGAAGCGTAAACAATACTGATTCCTTTAACCAGTCACTTTTCCTTTTATTAGTTGCATCTAAGGAGTTCATTCTCTGTTAAAAAAAAAACGGTAAATTACTGACTATAGCAAAAAATGTACAAATTATTTAAGAGTTTACATTATTTTAATATTGTGTTCGTTTGAATAAGCAGAGAATAGGCTTAAAAAGTTGGGATAACAAGATTTTAACTGTTGCGGGTTAAAAATGGCTGTAATAAGTAGATGATTATCAAGAATCTATTACGATCTGATAGAAAAAATGGCATCTTCAGAAATAGACGAACTCTTAGCTGGTTCCTTAGTAACTTGGGTAAGCATAACATCTGAGGATGCATTATGAACAAAATTTTGAAGCACGTTCGTGGAGTGTTGTTTAATTATTATTTTTTACATTGGTAGTTTACAAGTTGTCTGGAGGACCCAGATTCGTTAACTAATTACGAGGATTTGGTGGATGGAACATTGTTACATAGTGTCTTTCTACAAATGTAAGATTCTTAGTATCACACTGTCTTTACATAAAGGTATACCAGTAATATATTGAAAACAAATTTTTACATTTAGTGATCCAGAACCGCTTCATGATAGTGTAATACCTAGCAATGGAAATCCAGTAATTAGAGCAAAGAATCTAGAGATAGTCGTTGGGAATATGAAACAGTTTTATGAAGAAGAATTGGGGCACTTAGTGCTGAAATTGCCAGACACTAAAAAATTAGGCAAAGAGCCGGAATTGTACATCGCAGAAATAAAACTATTGCTCCTCCTGCTCTTGGGTTGTGCAGTGCAATGTCCCAATAAAGAGAAATTTATCACGAATATTAAAAAATTGAATGTTGACACACAGCTTGCAATTGTAGATTGTATTAAGCAGGTATGTCGTATTTTGTATAAAATTTTATTTTAGGAATAATAATTATACTTAATGTAAATCGTGTAGTTGTCTCTTTGCAAGAGTACTTTTCCAATTAATAGGTCACTGATCATCAAGATATCGTAATAACTCAAGATTCTATGGAGAATGTGAATATGGGTATTGTATTTACGCAAATGAAGAAGTTAATGCAGGAAAGAGATTTGTACTGTGAGGTAGGTGTTTACTTTAAATTCATACTTGAGTAAGATGTACATTATTCACAGTTTCATAATAAATACTAAAATTCTTATTATTTTAGAAATGGAAAAATGCAGTCATCATTGGCAATGTTGAAAGAAATGATTCTTCAATTAGCGTGGAAGTAGAAGAAATAAGTAAAGTTCAGCAAACTAATTCAATTACTAAATCAGAAAGAGAAAACAGTCACCATTATGCTGTGGAGTTAGCGGATTGGAAATCAAAAGTTAGAAAACAGCGACAAGAATTGTATGTGTCCAAAACAAATTTCGTAGAAGAATTAAATGATCCATTTATTCATGCATTTTATCGTATGATCTTTTATGTCATTAGGGAAGAGAAGACGGAATCACTGCTTGAATGTAAAGAGGAGTTGGAACATAATAAAACGCTTTTAGTAAAGTTGAAACAAGAGGTATGAATAGTCATTAAAACTACTTTCGGTTCAGTAATAACAATATTCTTATTAATAATACTTGTGTTATAATTATTCTAGAATCAAGAACTTATGCATGAAGCTCGTACAGCAAAATCATATAGAGATGAACTGGATGCTGTCATCGAGAGAGCAGAACGTGCTGACCGTTTAGAAATGGAAGTTTCGCGATACAGAGAGAAACTTACAGATATTGAATTTTACAAAACAAGAATTGAAGAATTACGAGAAGATAACAGGTAAATTAACACTTACAAACAATGAAAATTTCACTTTTAAATGTAAATCTAATAATTTTGGTACGTATCTTTCAGAGTGTTAATGGAAACCAGGGAAATGTTGGAAGAGCAATTAAGTTCTTTGAGACGACGCGCCGACAAGGTTTTAGAACTTGAGGCTGAAATTATAAAGTATAAGCAACTTCTAAACGACATGGCATTGGTGAATACATTATAATCAAACTATTGTATTAACATTACCGTTTACCATTTGACAAATTTTATATTAATGTTTAGGAAAGGGCAGCAGATAAAGAAAAATATCAGGAATTATTTGAAGAAAATTCTCAGTTACATCGATTAACAAAAGCTGCAGCAAGTGAAGCTGCTCTGTCCGGCTCCGTTAGTGATCCAGAAGATTCAGGTATTTTTCTTATAAACAACGATATAGTTGCAGTATATTTAGAGAAACCCCGAAATCGCTGGAATCAACGAAACTTAAAATTATAATATAAAATCGGTTGTGTTTCACATTTTAGTGGATACCGACAATAGGCTATCTGAACAGTTAACGAACAATGCTCAAACGCGGGCACTTAAGCTGGAACTGGAAAATCGACGTTTAATTACCCTAATCGACTCCCTCAAGGAAAATTCTTTCCATGAAAGTTCTACGCGTGTTCTCGAGTTGGAGAAGGAGAAAAAGAAACTTTCACTCAAAATTGATTCGTTAAACGACAACTGCGAGCGACTCTCCCAGCAGAACTCCGACTTGGAATTGGTTTGCAAGCAGGCTTTGGAAGAAAACAAAAAACTTCAGAATTCCCTTCAGAGCCAAAAGGCGTCTTTTGAAAAGCAACAGCAAGAATTTCAGGTATAAGATTTGATGTTTATTTTATTTATCCCCTTCTTTATCATCATGTGCTCAATTTTTGAATTGGTTTCAGGCTCAGCACATGAAAAATGTGGAGATGGAGAAGAATTATGATACCGCAGTCAAAGAGAAACAGCGCGTTCAGTCTCTCTTAGGAAGTGTCCAGAGACGAGCGGATGATCTCGAGCGTTCTCTGGAAACCGCGAATCAAAAAATTGAAGAATTAAAAGCTGTACAGAATTGCGTTAATGATGCAAATGCAAAGTGTGCTGATTTAGAATCAAAACTAATTATACTGGAAAAAGAAAAGGAATCTGCACAGCGTGATATACATAGGTATCGCGAGACAATTGAGGTAAGAATAAAAATGTACTAAATGTTGAATTTTCACTGGTATTTAAATGCATTTAATTTACAATGCAGGAAAAAGACGTTGCTCTGGATAAAGCAACGAACACAATTGAACTCCTAGAACGAAGAATAGCCCAACTCGAACAAGAGGTTGACAATTCGGTAACACAAATAACTAGGTATACTTTCTATAGTAATTTACTTATTAATCAATATATTTTAATTCAATACCGTGGATTTTTAGTTCCTGTAACGTTTATATATTTTCAAATACTTTCTTAGGTTGCAAGAGATTGAAAGGTCTAGTAAGGAATTAGATTCAAGAGCAGCCATAGACAGGGAAACATTAGAAACATTACAGTCAAATTTGGTGGCCGAAAAATTAAATACCCAGCAATTATATACGGTCCTTGAAAAACTTGGGTTAAATGTCGACGTGTTGCTGTCTCTTCCCCCGGACGACATCCTAGAAAGGTTATTATTTCTTAAGCTTACTGGATTAACTTTTCTGATGTTCCTGCGTTAAAGATTTGGGCTTTTCCTTTCGTGGAAGTATTTTTTAACTTCATCTTATCCATTACAAATTTCCAAAGGATCGCAAAAATCCCAGAGATAGAAAATTATATTAAAAAGTCGATAACACCTGAGAGTTGTAACTGTAACCAAGGAGCATCTGAATCGGAGAACATTATATCAAAAGAGGATGCAATGAGGAATGATAGCTTACAAGAGACTGTGGAACTGCTGAAGGTAATAATTTAGAAGTGGAAAGTCGTCCAGTCATTGTTCAAAATTAAACGTATCTCGTTTGGCTTTTGTTTTTTTTTCAGAAAGAACAAGAGAATATGCAAATCAAACTGACAGCCACTCAGTCAGCCTCAGAGAATCTTCTATCCGAAAATGCGAAGCTTCAGGTTTATGTAACCACATTGCAATCTCAAAGCACTTCCCTAGCTTCTCAACACACTGCTCTTCAACTTGCCAATTCACAACTCGTCGCGGAAAAGGAAGAGGTAAGAACTCCTTGACTCGTATAAATCATTAGATTTTTTTTTTTTAAATAATTTCTAGTCTTTTATTAACTCTAATAATTTTTTCGTTCCAGCTTTTAAAGGAGCGCACTGCTCAACAGCGAATGCATTCACAGCTCGTACATGACCAAGTTACATTGCAAAGGTTACACGAACAGCTTAACAATGAGTACGAAAATTTGCTGCAGGAACGAGAACAACTGAAAACGAATCTCAGAGATGTGAAGAATGAGGCTAGAATATCGCGCGAGAGTTGCGAGAGACTTGAGAAACAAAACAAAATTCTACAATCCGAAAGAGAAACCTTAATCAATAATGCAAAAAGTTTGAATAATTTAAGAGGCGAGCATTCGAAATTAAAGGTATTACGATATTGCTTGTGCAAGCAAGATGTCTGCGGCATTCATTTTAATATGTTTATGCTCGCAGGATGATTTTAGAAATTTGTACACTGCCATGGAAAAATTAAAGTGCGAGTACAAGAACTTGCAAGAGGACTATAAGAAAAATAAAATTGAAGTCAACCGATTGAGTTTGAAACAAACGGAAATGCAGGGAGAACTGAGCAGCAAAGATGAGCGCTGTTCGAACTTGGAGCTTCAAGTCAGTAAACTGAATCAACGGTGCGAGGTAATGAGTATTTCTGTACTTGTTAATTTAGCACGCCTGCCTACTTATCGTTAATAATTTAACTGGAAATTTAGATGCTACTGCAAATGAATTCTGGCTTGGACAACGATAGGCGATCTTTAATGGAGCATATTAGTCTGCTCTTCAGTCAATATCACGAGCTCTTAACCCATTCTCTTGATGACAAGGAACATTATCATATGGAAGAGAAAATGTACACGTATGTATTAATTTATTAAATAAGTTATACCGGTACGCAATTGGATTTTAAACAATTTTTCAAACTATTGCTGACTGTTAAATATATGACATGTATATTTTTTTTTTATTACAGAGATAAGATGAATCATTTGCATCGACAGAAAGAAAAATTGGAGGAAAAAATCATGGAGCATTACAAGAAGCTAGAAAGCTGCTCCACTAAAAAGTAAGTGGCTTTGCAAATGTTTTATTGCCCATAAGTTTACCAGTGCTGTACTGACATTGTAATGTATTTAAATCAGGAAAAGCTTTGGGGCAAGTCTTGTGCGAAGAGTCAGAAAAGCTGGGTCTGGTCTGCTCAATAAGGTGAGGAATCACATTTATAATAAATTAATAAAATACAGTATAATATTATTCTGAACAAGTATAGAATATTATTAGTTTTTATAAATTCTTTCCTAAAGAATCGACGTTCCTGGGCTGAGGATTCTAAACAGTCAGACGGGAAGCCAGACGAATCCGAATCAGGTGGAAACGATTCAGATGCGAGCAATGACGATCACAATTTGTCAAGTAAGTAATGTCGATCATTAAGTGCTATTAGAAAGACAATAACATTGGAACGATCGTTGGTTTCAGAAACAGCTGAAAGTACCGACCTTAGAAGTGAATCTTTAGTTCTGGGTCACCCCGGAACTAGAAGAACCGTTTATTACACGGACGATTCGCCGTCCTCCGCTACGACCTTAACAGTGAGTACTACAAACAATCGATTTCCGTAATTACTCACAATATCAATCAATCATTTAACTCATGTGAAGCCGGACAAAAGGATGGGAGAGCCTTCACAGTCGCTTCAAGACGAAGTACGACCTAGCCAAGTGGAGCAAAGTACAAGGCCGGAACCAGTGACCGAATCGCGACCTTTTTTAATTTATAACAAAGTGTCAACGGTCATAAACGAATCAAAAAACGTCAACACTTCGATGAAAGATCCAGGACCAGACGAGGTTCTCGTGGACACCCCTACTGACAGAGATCCGAAAACTGGCAGCTCGGTTTGGTACGAGTACGGATGCGTTTAAGCCGTATGTACAGACCAAGACAACTGTATTATATATCATTTTTTTTTGGCAAAACGTGGAAGGCAAAATAATCATTGTCATATTTGCCACTGATATGACCATGGAGACGATCGAGCCTTTTGCCACGATTTGACAAGCATTGCTATCAGAGAGGGGTTTATTTAATTTTTTTCGTCTACCAGATAGCGATAACTAGCATTCGGACCCGTCCAAATAATTGACTTGTTTTGCTAACAGGTAGACGTCGTGTGCATACAGTACTTAACGAATACGCAAACACGATAGAAAAGTATTATTTATACTAAAGACTTCCGCGTGTCATAGTTTGTAAGGTGTCGATATTTTTTTTTTTTTAAAGTAGAATGGACGAACAAAACATATAAACGTATCACTACCCGTCTTCGCGTGCAAATGTTTAACGAGGGTTGTAGTGCTTCCGTAGTTCCTAAGAATCGTACGCCGAGTAACCTCGAATGATCACGCCAAGTAATTCGATGCTTCTCAGATTCGAGTAGGCGGTCGGATCGCGATTCGTGTCCTAGACCTTTTTTTTTTTAATCATTTTATACAATTTTACAAAGCGAAACACCGCATTTTACATGTACATTTCCGTTGTGTGTAGTCTTAGCCTTGTGCTCGTATTGAATTAATCTTTGCGGCTCTTGTAACAATAATAATGCAATTTTTCTATTACGAGATTCTATTTTTCTCCTCTTTCCAGACACGTGGGACTAAAGTAATATTTTTTCAAGTTTATTCTTAGAAGTACTATTTTTATTATTTCACTCGGGAGTGAATAAATTTGCATTGATCTTCGACGCGACATGAAAACTGATCCACTATTAATATGCGCGAGGAAGACACGCGTGCCTGCCCGTCCATTAAAGGGTTTCGTTTTTTTCCCCAAACTTTTTTTCCCGACATTTGCCCTATCTTCTCACGAGACCTTGGTCAAAAAACTGCCCATTGGCAGCTCTACCCCTTTCGAAGGTTCCCAGGCTCAGACAATTTGCATGTCTCGCTCTCATCCGAAGGATTGAACCCTCCCTACGGTATTCCCGACTTTTGTCTTTTTTTTTCCTTACTTCGTTCGCCTCCATACCGCGCTTAGATATCGAAGCTTTCGCGTGAGAATGAGAACGTGACCGTGAATCACTTTAGCCTAAAGAATGCAAAGACGATGCAGAGTCGAAACGAGGGTAATAATGGCTCGTGTCTACGTGCAAGTAAAACTTGCGAGAGCTGCTCTCAGAGAGTTCTTGCCATCGTGCACACGATTTTGCGAGTGAGCTTGCGCACAAAATTGCACTCTCCCGCAAGCTCGTGTACACTGAAAAAAATTCCCATGTAAATTTACACCCTAGATCATTGGTTATTTTGATGCCACTATTAACACTAGAATTACCAAGACCAGTAAAAATGACTGGTTTCAAATGGCCCATCCTATACAAAAAAAATCCGCCGGTAGTTCTAATGTTAATAATGTAAAATTACATTGCTGGGTATTATCACAAACGACATCTAAATTTACCCAAAGAATGTATTTTACGCGGACATTTGGTATGCAAACATACAGAGTATTACATTCAAAGGGTAACTTTACATGTAAAATGTATAATTGGTCTACATTATATTTGTAAATTTGGGGGGTTATCTTCCAATCGGTGATAATATTGATGAGCCTCCCCTGATGGTAACCCAGACGTAAACTTATTAAAACATATTCTATATGAAAACGTAACCATAATTGTAGGACACTTTCCTAGGTAGGTTCTTACGTCTTTCGCGTCAAACGATTGTTCTCAAACGAGAAGACGCGCGGGGATCCCGCGATTGAATTTAGACGACTTCATTGGTAATTTTACATGTCAAATGTTTTGGTTCTACATTATATGTGTAAATTTGGGGGGTAATCTACCAATCGGTGATAATATTGATAGTCCTCATATGGTAACCCAGACGTAAATTGATTAAAACATATTCTACATGAAAACGTAATCATAATCGTAAGACTCTTTCCTGGGTAGGTTCTTACTTCTTTCGCGTCAATTCGATGACACTAGACAGAGGCAAGTCAGCTCCGGAGATTACCTGAATCTTCAACGTCTAAACGCATGCAACAACTAATGATGCGCCATGCCGCGCCATCTATGCTGGACCCGTTTCGACGCGTTTGGCATTATTCGCAAACGAGAAGACGCGGAAGAATCCCGTGATTGAATTTAGACGATTTGATTGGCTAAATTTACGTCCTAATATGTCTTTTTCCGCAGCAGCGTATATTTATCCACATCGATATGTAAATTGACTAGGTAAACCGTAGATTTACATGCATGGGAAAGGTCTTACATGCCACGAGAAAAATTACAACGTAATGTTACATTTAATTCAAGTAAAAAGGCAGGAATGCAGGAAATATATAATGTCCCGGGCATTTATACATTCTCTGATTTGTAATTTTTCCATTTGACGTTTTTTTATGTAAAATTTCAATTACGTAGAGCGTAAAAATGTATGTAAATTTCCATCGATTTTTTTCAGTGCATCCGCCTGCCTGCTTGTAGAAGTTGAAGGTGCACAAGTCGAGTTCGAATCTACCCTGAAATTCTTGTTGCAAGTTGCGAGCGGATTCGTATGTATCTGGATGTTTCGTTGTATGACACTTTCAATCCCGAATATCTCACACTAAAGCAAAATTGCAGCAAGATACCGTCAACCCGCCAATGCAAGTCACTCTCGTAAGTCGTCTTGCAAAAGCTTGCTAGAGCGACTTGGGGCAAGAAATTTGCTACAAGTTTATTGGTAGTGCATCCGCAAATGCAAGTTGCTCTAGCAAGAAGTGGCACAAGTTCCTTGCACGTGGACACGAATCATAACGATCGTCGCCCGATAATTTATATTTTAACCAATTTCTGTGCTTTTGACTGCGCTATTTTTTACATATTTTCCACAATGTAGCCCTTATAACAGCCGGCAATCGCGCGATTTAGAAAGTGAGAAGTCAAATCGAGAAAGCGCCCGAAGTGACGCGAAAGCCACGGAGAAATTTATATACGTGTTCGGAATGTCAGTCGGGATGCGTTGCAAAAAAAGGTTGTAAACGTCTTCGGCGTGTGTGAAATCCCTACGTTGAAACTTTTCACTCGATATCAACGAAACTGCCATTGAATTCCGAACGATAAGCGAGTTCAAAGCGGCCAAAAGTGGATATTTTCAATCGACCTTCCCCCGGATCCAAAATGGCGGCCGCCGGGCCCATCTCCGATCCGCAACGCGTCACGTGACCGCCGAGTCTCTCCGCCACCGGCTCTTTTTCCTCGATTCAGATGAAATCCGCGGAGCATTACGCGATTTCGAGGGCACCCTTCGCACTTTTCTTTCTCGCCGGATGCTCCAGGCATCCCGACGTGGCTCTCTCCGCATCGCGGCGTTTCCTCTTATGCAAATTCCCGCAAATAAGGGAGAACATTCCCCCTCTGCCTCGTGCCCCTCGCAACGCGGACTTTCTCCCTTTTTCCGGGCTTTCGGGGAGCCGGGGCAAAAAACTCCTCGTTGCAGTAACGGTCCGCCGGCAAAACCCTTTTTCCCGGCGGTTTTTCCCCCCTCCGGTGAAAATAAAAGTCTCCCCCAGCCCCCGCGAGGGGGGTGGTCGTTTGGTCGGCGGGCGCCGTCGGGGGGCGGCGGGAGCGAAAATAAGGCCGATAAAACCCGTGCGGGGTAGCGACGTCGTCGACGACGACGGCGACGCCGGGAGGGAAAAACTCCCGGGGGCGGTCGAGGGAGAGGCGGAGAGAAAAACCGCGAGGGGGCGGGGGACCGGGGAGGGGAAACGAAGCGTCGAAATAGGAGAATTTTAAGGAGTGGTGCCCTCTGGAGGGGAGCTCTGCAAAAATGTCCGCCGCGGTCGACCCCGAGGGGCGGCGCAGGGATTACGAGTTTTCGGATCCGGGGCACGAGGGGCGGGCACGAACCGAACGGGGTACGGAAGGATGTACGAGAGATACGAGAAGCGGCGTATCTCGAGGGGCAAGCTGGGGAGAGCAACAACCGAGATTTTCATTCCCCAAATTTGTAGCTAAAATCGAGGAGATTCGGTTTCGTCTTCGCGGACTCACATTTTTACGGGGGAAATTCTGCCGTTCGAAGTTTCCAGTCCCATGAAAAATGGTGAGTCGGAAATTTGCCCCGATATTCCCCCGACGCTTGCGCGGAGTGGCCTCGTAAACATCGAGACGACGTTAGGAGAAAGAAGCGGATCGCGAACTCGTCCTTCTCTTAATTTCTAGCGGACATGTTTTCTATGGGCTCGGGGCATGGGAGGCGCAGTCGGTACTATAAGTCGGTGGGGTGGGTACTTCCCCCCTCCACTGACCGCTTTTTCCAGGCTCGTCTTCCCTCTCGCTCCCTCCTGTCGCTCCTTCCCTCTTCGTCTCCCGCGGGCAAGTGCAGTCTCCCCTCGCGGTCGGGTCGGTTTTTACTCGCAGCTGCAAGGGCTAGGGTGGAGCGGCGCGGCCCCCCGGGGGTGGGGGTCCGCGCCTCTCCTCTCTCCCCTCTCGCGCCGCGCCGGCCGCGCCGGCCGCGCGGGGAGGGGATGGTCCGTCCGCGAAGCGCGGACCCACTTCCACTAGAGGCGAGAAACAATGTGCGCCCCGCTATCGCGCGACTCACCTCGGCTCGCCTCGGTCTCGGCTCGCCACGGCACCGCCGCTCCCGCGGAGACTTTGAATTCGCCGCGCTTCGGATTGGTCCGCGCGGTCGCCGCTCGCGTGACCTCCCGACGCCGGCCGGCGAGTCCTGCGACACCTCCGTCCCGCGTCGTCCCGACTACCTAACCTCTCCCGGACTCTACCAAAGAACGCCGCTCCGACTTTCCAGTCCCATCTCCCGTTTGAATTTAGCGCGCCTCGCGAATGCGCCGTCAAGACGTGCCCGGCATGCGTCCCGTTCGAGTTTAGACTCAACAGTGACTCTCTGGACATCTACGCCGACTTTAAACGCACTTTTTAAAGGAAGTTCGACCGAACCCGGGTGGAGTGGCTCGGGGATAAAGAAGGATCTCTTCACCTTGGAACGTTCGAATTACCGGAGGGATTTCGGCGCGCATTCGCTATCCGACAAGAAGGGCGGCCTTAAACGTTCCGCCGAGTTTTAGCCCTCGATCCTCGGGGAATCCGTCCCACTTCCGTCCACCGGGATTTCCTGGCCACCCTCGATACATCCAAACCCCGCATCCGACTGTCTCTCTGCATCCCCTGTGTGTGCGTTTGGACCCACCTGACCGGAGTGTGCCTTTGGCTCGTGCATTGACCTTGATCCGCGTTTTCTTTAAGGACTTCGGCGACGCGTGCATGGTTTTGCAGTGTTCACCTATCCTCCTCGATCTACCCCAGGTATTCCCTCCGATAATCGAGGGAACACCCTGCACCCTCGACATCCCGCTTGGCTGCGAAGTATGCATCTACCCCCCTCTCGATCCACGATACTCCGAGGGCAACGGAATAACGATCTCCGAGGGCCATCCGGAGAACCGATGACCACTCGCGTCGAGTAGAGGTGGCGACTCGGAGTTCCGTCGCGCTCGAATTTCCACGTCACCCCGCACGTGCACTCCGACTCGGTCGGCCATTTTGTGCCGCTTGAGGAACCTCCGTAGT